ACACTTTCTCTTGACCTTTCCTACTGGCACCACAAGAACAGGAAACTTGGGGTCGTTTCTTTTCGGTTGCTTGTTCTTCTTGTTGTTTTTCTAACACCATTCGCACAGTCTCCGTATGGACGTAATCGTAGTGCCCACAACCAGCGGCATTAAATGAGACAAACAACGTAGGCATGTCATTGAGTTGTCCACGCGGCAGAATTGGTATAGTGGGATAGTTTTCCAACGATGAAAAAATTACAATGGGCATTTTTAGAACGTTGGCCATTGCTAAGACCATGAGATTTCTTAGCTCACCAGTAAAATACCCCTTGTGGGTAAACCGCTTAACTTCCTCGTCAAAGTTGTCAGTTGTCAGGAAGCTTTCGTAGTGTGGCCTGTTCTCTCCTGACCACTCTGAAACGGTCAGCACCCTTAAACTGTCGCTCAAGCTTTCCTCGTCTAAATTAACAAGACCAAGATTAGCCATATGCTCATACGCTTGAGAACTTAATCCTCCTGTTTCTGTTAATTTGGAAACGTTCCTTGCCACTGCTCTAAAACAACAATCTCCGTCCTTAGCAATATGTTCTCTGGACATTGACCAGCTCTTTAAAATGTTGTCTATACGTTTATCGTGTTCATCGGTGTCTCTGTTCATGCTGAAATGACTGTTATAAAACAAAGTAATAGAAATTTAAATAGGGAAAGTGACGATGTGATATTTCTGTGCCTGATTCGCTGAGATTTACTAGGCTTTGGAACGATGCCAAACTCATTTGCGCTCTGTCTAGAATATTGATTGCAGAAGAATAGTTCAAAGAGAAATTACCATGACTATCATCATCGTGAGTTTTCGCTGTCAATTCCGTTGTCTCAGTTACTTCATCTGCGTCAGAAGATACCAACCTTGCTATTCAAACCCTGGATTTCAGTAAATCTGAGAAGAGGTTAATTAAACTCTGAGATAAGTATTACTACTCTCGTTTGGGAAGTTTTTTGTATACGAGTTATTCAAACCCTGGTAGGAGAGTTAATGTAATCGATTATAAGCAAAGGCAACTTTTCCCAGTATAGCCCTAGCACTCCATTAGTGAGTGAATTACCTTGAAAAATTGATTTTTGTGCTAGCAATCCATACTTGAAAATTGTAGTAGGTAAAAAAACCTATCTGACAGCTAGATGCAACCTCGAGAATCGCTTTTTAAGTAATAACACCCGGTATCAGCATAACACTAGCGCTCGGTCAGTAAGGGGTTAGTGATTCCACCAAATATATTTTCACTCGCTTTCGGTGTTATTTTACATGAGCTACTGTAACCCTGGTAGGCGAGTTAATAAAACTGCCTATAGTGTGCTGGAAACCCTGGTAGATGCCGGTTCTCCAAACCTTGAAGCTATTTACGACCCCAAAAAGTGCCGCCTTACTACCCACTATAAGACCTGGCATCTAAAATCCATACACTTTTTAAGTCAACATCACTTCATGTTCCAAACTGGAGTGAACACCAACTTAAGATTGGGTCACATTGACCTTGAGTGATAATATCTTGGTTTCCTATCTCATTCTGTCGTTCATAACTGGTCAAAAACTATACCCGTTTGAAAGACTACAACGGCCAAGAAACCTAAAAAAACGCTTATATAGGACATATAGGGAATTACCCCGGGTATCCTGCAAACCTTAAATTTTTTAAAAGCACATTGAGATAATGTAGAAAATAACATACACAAACGGCTAACATTGTTTCAACACACCCGTCGGTATTACATTGGAATAAATGCCGGGGGCTTACATAAAGGTTAATGTTTACATCATTACGAAACATACAGAATTGTTTGAAATTTTTTTGGTTTTAGCTGCCAAAAAAAATAGCTAACCCAACTAATGAGTTCTCGAAAACACTCTTGTAAAACATTTTAAATTCAGTACCACTCAAGACAATTATTTGAACTCCGAATCCTGTAATCAGAATTGAGGAAATGTAACTTAAATGTAAAAAAAAGTGTTGCCTCGGATTTACGTTGATATCGACAAAACTCCGCATTAGTTTCCAATCTTCAATATATTCCCTGCAAATAATTTCAATTCCTGTGATTAAATTTAGTGCTTCGTTTGATGCCCGTTTGTGTGTATGTCGTGTTCAAAGGTAGTGGGTATGATTTCAATAAAACCCCGCGTTCAAGAACCTAGAATTTAAGAACGTATTAGGCTAAAATTGTCGATTTAGACCCCCTTTACACAAGAACCTGTATAGGCTAGAATTTCAGAGTACATTCTTATGTTATCAGTAGATTTAAAACTAAAATTTAAAAATCAAAGAAAATAGTTGTAAAGTGCATATTCTGTCATTTTGGAGAATATTGTCCACAATTGATATTAACGGATATATCACACCTACCGAAAATGAGTCTCTCTTTTCTTTAGAAAAAAAGAACCTATTTCAGAACCTGTTTAGCCTAATTTCCTTGCTTGTAAGCACCATTTACATTAGAACCTGTTTAGACTGTTTATGCTGACTTGGAAAAATCTAGGTTCTTGTACTCGGGGTTTTACTAAACTGTATAATCGGATTGGGCTGCCATAAACAGTTTTCTGTGCCACAACTTACCCGACAAACAGCCTTTCCTCATGTGCTCCTGGATTTTTCGCACTTCTTTTACAGCTTCCTCTGATAAGACTGGCTTGCCTTTGTCGCTTTCAACGTTTTCCCACTTCTTCAAGAACATGTCGGCATTTTTTAAAAGAGTGTTTGGATCTGGAGTTTCTTTTGCACGCGTTTTCCCGACGTCAGAGGGATCTCTAAACATCAACCGTAGATCTTGTAAGCATCTACTATAGAAGGGTGGCGCTTTGAAATTTTGGAACTTATTCGCTGAAATGCGTGGAAAATATCAAGTTTTACAGCCAGATCGGGGCCGAAAACCTCTTGTAACTTTTTTTTCTCCAATGGCAGCAGTTATCGATGTAAAATTCCTTAATACTTTTTTTCTTTGCTGGACAATCTCTGAAAGAGTTGTTGCAGTAGGCCACGGACTTTTTCAAATCCTTGAGTCTGAGTTAGTTGCCAAGTCGCAATTTGCCCTCGTTCGTTCATCACACAGAACAGCGAATCGTACTGTCGAATCCACTTTCTATCTTCTGTTCTCTCATATCCTATACTGCTAGTTATATCGAAGGTGTGGTCGCAGGAAAGCCATTCCGCGTCGGCTGAAATCGATGTCATTCTTCTGACAAACAAATCTTCATTCAAATCAAAGTAGTGAAGGAAAAATTCAGAAATTGTATTTCTACTGGGACATTCCCGCTGCTGGTTGAACTCAGGGAAAGAAGAATTTATTACGATTGGATGGCTGGCACTGTAAAGTTTCAAGTCTTCTAAAAACTTACTTTCAAGTTTCAAGTGACGCATATGTATTCGCTCGAGCAAAATGTCGTTAATTTGCGAAAATGACAGTCCATTTCGCACCATTGACACAATCATATCGAGAAGCTCTCTTGTTACTCCAGTTTTGTGTGAAAGTAAGAAAGGTATTCTTCCCTGACTATTAATCATGGCTAATATGGCAGGATCGTGGCCACTAAGTTCATGTCCGGCAGAACATCTATACACGCGACTTATGAGCAGAACCCTTCCAGACATACCGTAAATTTGCCTTGGCATTTGACGACGTAGCCGACCATCCTTCCAACCAATGGGTTTTAAAGAGATAACTTTACCATCTTCATTGCAGATGGGACACACAAATTCGGGTTGAAAAAAGTGCGGCAGCTGTTGGTGCGGCTCCCATAATATAGCATTTGGAAGTACATAGGAATGTGGCTCAGGAAAGCCATTCTGTGGTCCAGTCAGCCGTTGTTCTACCGGATCATTGTTGTAAGTGGCATGCCTTTGAAGAAGTCGTTGAATAGCTTGTTTTAAAGCCAAATGGAAATCTTCATCTCCCATTGGAGAACACTCCTCGAAGCAGACGCATAGCAAAATTATAGAGAGAACGCCCTTGAAAAGTCGATGTGCCATTGGCGGTCTCCTCTTATTAAAATTGGGACACTTTAAAAAATTTTTGTTGTGCCGCTATAATACATCCAGTCTTGCCGTAAGATAATTTATGTATTTTTTGTTAGCATTGTATTTGATTCTCAAACATTACTTCCGGGCGGAAATAACACTTCACAAACCTCGACTAGCTTTATTACAAGTCGTATAATGAAGGGGACACTAGAGAATGGCTGTCCCTTCGTCTTTTAATTGTTATAAAAGACGTTTAGACTGCAAAACAGCCCGAATTTATGCGTCGGTCACGAATGTGATGAAGACCTCTCGGGAAGAGAATGAGTCTGCATTGTCCCGTATTTATACAATGCATGGACGTCTTTAACTAAAGCAAATGACTTTCGTTTTTTAACGGGCACCAAGGCAGTCATTTTCTCACCAATTAAACATTACTGTGCGTGAACACTGTTACTTTAGTATGCAGATGGCGTGTTTCAATTTTGGAAGCTCAAAATCTGGTGCCGCATAGTTGATTAGCCATTTTGCCGTCACCTACATTTTACACTGATAAGAAAATAACGTCACTTTCGAGCTTGACCAAACTCTCTCATTGCCACTTGACTGGAACAGAATTTAGTAACAGTAGACAGGCGAACCAAAAAATCATAGTTAGGATAACCAGACCTCTCCTTGAAAAAAAAGCCTTAAAATTCGGCATGGTAATTGTTTTGGAAAGATACTATCAAAATCTGAAAGAAAGGAAAGTGACTTTTTGATCATAGTCGTTCTTTAATACATTAAATTTATTAACAGTTTTCATAAACATAATTTACTGCAAAACTCCTGCAGATTCTTTTGTTTCCCTGCAGTAGTGCAAAACCTAAAAACAATATTAGAATTTTAAGTAAGTGGGAAGTGTCAAACTACAGGTGTAATCAAAGCTTCAAAGTGCCATGTTGTTATGAAGGGACTTTAAAGAACAGTGCTAAGTGATCTGAGTATGATCCATTTTGTTTCGTTAGTAGTAATCACATAATAATTATTGGGTGATGAGTGCTTTCAGTTAGTTTTTAAAGGTTAAAAGGAGAACTAACCCTTCCCTGCCCCCTTTTAGATTAACTGCACTAAAATATCAGAGTTACTGGGATGAGGAAAACTTTGTTTCAAACATAATTTTTAACCTTAAAAAAGTAATTAGTAGTTGTAAGTAATAAGTGAGTGGGACAACAATAACAAAAAGGAAGATCGAGTATCCAGGACAAGTATTAAACTAGCAGATCTGTTCTATCGTATGCCTGTAAGTTGATAATTTGTTATAACATAAAAATTTTAAGAAACAATTTCATGAAACAAATTGTTATGGGACATGAAACAATTTCATGTCCTACTCAAAATATGTGCATAGTAGGCAAATTGCTATCCCTCTAAGTGGATCATGATTGTTCATTGTTAGACTCGAGCTAGTCTTAATTATAAACCATTGACCAAGTACGTTATGATGTGGGATGAATAAAGATAAACAAGATATGTCCATACAGTCTGGATGACTTATGTTTCTAGTTAGCTAAGTTTGTTTTTTAGCATAGTACAATAATATTATTGACAATTTTATACAATTTTATATGTGCTTTAAATTAATAAAGAAAAGAAATAACATCAACAGTTT